TTATGAAATGTTTTCAGTGCATGTACCGGGATGTTCATGAGAACATTTATTTTAGTGAAGTGACATTATATTGAATATATTTGTAATGTTAAGTCATCATGTTATTTCAGGAAATTCAACTTAATTGTGTAATATTATTTTTTATGTGTATTGCTTGATTTCGGTTTTGGTACTTAAAAATTATTATTGTTCTTTCTTGACATTTGTCTGAATGAGTAAAATTGTCCTAGAATAGTCTTTCCTCTTAATTTCCTTATTGTGCTTCGGTATCAGGCTTTTCCTGGCCTTGGGGAATAGCCCTTTTTAAAATTATGTGTAGTGATTTATGTGAAACTTGTGTTATTTCTTCTTCTTTGCCAGTGAAATCATCTAGACCTTCAGTTTTCTCTCTGAAAAGGTTTGGATTAAGTTTCTTTAAAAAATATAAGAGTACTCTTTTTTATTTCTCCTATTATCGAGTTGAATTCTTATCGAAATTTTTGTTTCATCAAAAATTTTAAACTTAATTGGCCTAAAGGTATTCCTAACATCCTCTTAGCTTTTCATATCTACAGGACTTGTGATGTCGCCTTTCACATTCCGACCTGCCTACACCAAAAAGCAAATCTGCTGTCATCAAGTAATTTTTGACTCTTTGGACAGAGTAGGACTGCCATCCATATCAGCTCCATGGAGCTGATGATGGGTTCAAACCACCAACCTTCTAGTTATCAACCTGGTGCTTACACACTGCACCACAGGGGGGTTGCATTTCTTCCACTAGTCTATTTGCCTTTATTCCTTCATTAATCTTGCTGAAATAGCTGCTTATCTCTCTAATTTTTACCCTTTCTTCTTTTTTAAATATATATTTAAGGCTCTACCACAGGTTTTGATATTATTATTTATTGAAAATATTTTCTAAATTTTACTATGATTTAATCTTTGGCCATGTTTTTTTAAAAGAAGTCTGTTTCTTAATTTCTGAATATATGGAGATTCATAGTTATTTCGTTGTAATTATACTATCATAGACATTACTGAAAAGTTATGTTCACGACCATTTAGTTCAGCCTTAGAAACTTACTGTCTTGCTACCTGGGTGTGTGTTTTAAAAGTAATGTTCATTCTGTAGTTGTTGGACATGGAGTACTGTATACATGTGGATCTATGAGATCGCTGATGGTAATTACATTTACTTCCTTTTACTAATTATACATACTTGTTCTTTCTATGCTGGTTATAGCTTTGTCTATTTCCTTGAATAGTTTTGCGAATTTTCTGATTTAAATCATTGGAAACCACTTTTTAGTGACATATAAATTTAGAAATGTAGTACTCTTTTCAGAATTTGACATTTAAAAAAAATCATTTTATTGGGGGCTCGTACAACTCATCACAATCCATCCGTCCATCCATTGTGTCAAGCACATTAGTACATTTGTTGGGAGAATTAGAACTTTTTAGCGTTGTGAAATACTCCTCTTCATCACAGGTCACACTTCTTTCCTTAAAGTCTACTTTGGCTGGAATTGTGAATAATGTTTTTTTTCTTTGGTTCAGTCTTTTTTGTATGTATCCTTCGTAACACAGCATCGTAGAGTGGGATTTTCTCACTCTGGTCTGACACTCTTCAGATTTTAACATTTAATCTCATTTACATTTACTCTATCACCAATACGTTTGAGTTTAGATCTCTTGTTTTATTACATGCTTTTTATTTATCTTACTTAAGTATGTCTTCATTGTTCTTCTTGCAGTTTTCCTTGCTCTCCCCCCTTTGTTTCTTATTATTTTTTAATTACGGTTTTTTCTTCTTTTAGTTTAGAAACTGACTTAGTTGGCATATAGATTACACCATGAATCTGTTACCTAACAAAGTATACTCTTAATGCCCTTTCATCCTCTTCCCAGATAATGCAAGGACTGTAAAGGCTTTAACTATGTCTTCTTGATGGCACCTGTTGTAATTCCTGTGTACATTGGTTATCTGTGCATTTTAAATCAACATGCCACCACTCTGATGGTTTATGCAGCCATTATTCTTTTACATTTACTTATGTACTTACTATTTTCACTAGTGTTCATCTTTCCTATATCCCTGGCTTTTCTACTTGGGCCCTTTCCGTTTTCTCTGTAGTATTTTTGGTGGTACAGGTCTGCTGGTAATGGATTCTTTCTCATAGTTTGCAAGATAATGTCCTTAGTGCACTTTTGTATTTTTTAAATATGTTTTATTGTGTTTAAGGTGAGAGTATATATACAAAGTAGGTTCCCATTTGATAATTTCTACATAAATTATTCAGTCACATTGATTACATTTTTCAAAATGTGTCATTATCCTCATTCATTCTTTTAGTTGTCCTACCCCCTCACCTTCTCATCTTTGCTCTAAAGGGTCAGTTTAGACCATTAGTTTTTCTTTTTTTTTTCCCAAGGAAGCTCATTAATCATAGGTGGTGGTCTTTATTTTGTACTCCAGTTCATTATTTAAGTAGCAGGTGACCTCTACTGAGATAATGCCAGTTTAAAGTATCTCAGGGATGTTGACTCAGTGTGTCCTCTAGTCTCAACCAGTCCATTAAATCTGGACTTCGGAAGAATTTGAGTCTGGGGCCACATTCTTCAACCCTTTGGTAAAACCCATCTAATGTGTCCCTGGTCAAAACTGCTGGTAGTGGTAGCCAGGCCTCAGGGCAGATGGCTTTAAACACTCACTCTTGAAGGGTGTTTTTGCGAAGTGTGTAGAATTTTAGGTTGGGAGTTACCTTTTCCTTCCTTCATTTGGAAATATGTCATTGTTTTTCAGGCTTCCATGATTTCTGTTGAGACAGGCATCGAATGTAATTGTTACTCCTTTACATATTGTTCTTGAGAGATGTAGCACTTTTTAAAACTCTGTAAGTTGGTATCATTAATTTGTTTTAGAAAACACGCTACCATTTTCTTTTCAAATATTTCTTTGATGGATTCTCACTTCTCTTCTGGTACAATAGTTAAGCGTGGTCTACTTTTCTTTTTTATTCCCTTTGTCTTTAACCTTCTGTTCTCAATTTCATCATTTTTAAATTTTAAATTACTCTGTGCTTCATTCATTTTGACCTGATTTCCAACCCATTAATTCTTTCTTCCTTTTCATCTAAAATATTACTAAATCAGTTTGACATTATTAGTAAACTTGCTTATGGTTTATTTCTAGTCTAAAACTTCTCTTTATGTTTAAAATTTGCTGTAATTTCTTAAAAAAACAAAACAAAACACAAAAAAACCTTCCAGTTCTTTGCCACATTTCCAACTCTATGATGTTGTTTCCTTCAACGTGGTAATTTAAAGTCTGTCTCTTCGCCACAGTATCTGAGTTCACTGATGATTTCTACCTTTTGTTGTGTTTTCCTGGTTCTCATTCATCTTGTCTTGTCTCCTTATGTACTTGGTTATCTGTATATGTCAGAGTATTTGAAAAATTATTTGTACAAATAGTTGGGGGCCTAGGATGATGTTAGCTTTCTTCCAAAGAAGAGTTGCATTTTTCTTTTTCTTCCAGGTCCTAGGGCACTAGCAATCTGGGGTTACTTTAATCCAGTTTTAGGGATTACAAGTGCTCTGAAGTCGGGCTGCAGCCTCTTCCAAGTCTATTATAATTCCAGTCCTATTCCTACACCCAAGACGCAGACCTTCAGCACGCAGGTTCGGGGTTGAGGGTTTTACCCAGCAGCAAACCCCACCCTTGACTGGGTCTGTCTGGATGCCAACTTTTATTCTCTACCCCAGGGGTTGGCAGACTGTTTTTTTT